TGCCCTGCCCTCCTCTGGGGGCGGAGGAGCTCTCTGGAGTTAGGGCAGTCTTGCAGACCCAGCAATCGCTGTTTCCAGAGCCAAAGTCTCTTCCCCTGGAAGGGAGGTGATCTGGGTGGAAGGAGGCGTTTGTAAATGCACCATAGATTGAGTGGCTCTTGTTGATATACACAAGTACTGCTGTGTGCTCTCTTGAACGGAGTGGGTGTGTGTGGGGTTTGGTTTCTGCTCTCTGCTAAACAACGAAGGCTTAAAAATGTGAAGAGGAGGACCAGAGGAGAGGAGGACCAGTCTGAGGGGAGCAGAGTCTCAGCCATAGGTGTGTTGGGGTATATGTTAGGTTGAAAAGTACCTCTCAAGACCCACTATACAGAAAGAATTGGGGGTTTGTTGTTGCTGGCTGCCGAGCCTCCCCGGCCCGCCCCCGCCAATTTTTCCTCCTGTGCTCCGGCGGTGGTTTTTTTTTATTTTGCTCCGCCCCCTGCGTCCTGATATTTCACTTCTGTCATCTGGTCACCCTAGAGTCAGTGCCCGTGGCCAGAGCCTGGAGCTAGGGGCACGTGCTGTGCGGCCGGAGCCAGGGGTTGGAGCCTGCTGCCACATGGCTAGAGCTGTGGGTCAGCGCTTGGGGGCAGTGCCCACCACCATGTGGCCAGAGCCTGGAGCTGGGTGCTGGAGCCTGGGGCTGTATGGCCAGAGCTGGGGGTCAGCACCTGCTGGCGCTTGCTGCTGCAAGGCCATGGGTCGGCCCTCACTGCCTTGCGGCTGAGGATCAGCACCGGGGCTGGGGCCGCACGGTCGAAGTTGGGGGTTGGCACCTGAATCCCTGCAGCTGGAGGCTAGGGCCATGCGGCTGGAACTAAGGGTTGATGCCCAGAGCCCCATGGTCAGAGGAAACTGCCGTGCGGCTGGGGCTGGGGCCCAGGGCCAGTGCCTCCTGCTGCACAGCCACAGCCCGGGAGTGGAGTCAGTGGCCAGCACCTGCCACTGCATGGCTGGAACCAGGGGCTGGAGCCCGAAGCCCCGTGGCTGGAGACCAGGGCTATGTTAGGGTTACCATATTTAAAAATTAAAAAAAGAGGACACTCCACAGGGCCTTGGCCCCTTCCCTGCCCCAACTCCGCCCCTTCCCTGCCCCAACTCCGCCCCCTCCCCTGAGCGCCCGCATTCCCCCTCCTCCCTCCTAGCCATGTGAAACGGCTGCCCGAAGCTGGTAGCGCTTGGGCAGCTCGGCTCTTACAGAGCCGAGGAGTCAGGGAGCACAGCAGCCGCCGGAGCCCTCTGTAAGGTAAGCCAGGGATGCCGGAAGCTGGGAGTATTTTTCCCGGACATGTTCGGCTTTTTAGCAATTCCCCCCAGACGGGGTTTTGATTACCAAAAAGCCGGACATGTCCAGGAAAAACCGGACGTATGGTAACCTTAGGCTATGTGGCTGGAGACGGGGATCAGCACCTGCCGGGGTTGCACAGCCAGGCTCCTGAAGTCCTGCCGCTGGAGCCTGCTGTCCAACCACCATAGGGCTGACACCTGAGCTCCTCTTCCCCCCAGGTGGGTCGATAACTCACCTTGCTCCTGCAATGTTGCACCTCACCTGTCTCCAGAGGCAGTGCAGAGCAGCACATCCAGGAGGGGGAGGGGCCAATGTTTTGCCCCCCAATCACCGCCCAAGAGGTTGTTGTGACTGCACAAAAAAACCCTGGTGGCCACATGCAAGAAATGCTGCTCTAGAGAATTTGCCTCTGGCTGGGACTTGGGCTGCATTGCAGGAATCAGGTTGGCTTTCTACTTGGCTGGCATGAGGGTCCTGAGTCCCAAAGAGATCCTGGCTCTTAGGGAACAGCAGGCAGCAGGTTCAACATCCTCACCAGATTGGATGTTTGTTTAGTGCAAAATTCTGTCCAGTTCCTCAAAAAATGGACAGGTTATGTGTCCCCTATCTGATTTCCCCCCTCCCCCATCTTCCCTGGTTTTAATATTATCTGGCACTGCTCAGAATCCTGGACATCTACTTTGCAATGTCCACAAACAGATCATAATTCTGGAGGCTGGCCACAAGAGCTTCTAGCACTGTCACTTCACCCCAGATGGTGAGATCCATCTCAGCATGGCTCCAGGCGGCTGTGTGAGGCATGTTGTTGTGGGGCTTCTGGAGTAGCATTTCAGCCATGTTGATACATGGGAACCCAGGAGCAAATGGGCAAAATCTGGCCCTCCACCAGCTTTAAAATGGCGGGGGGTGGGGGGAGAGATGTCTTGGCAACATGACACCAGAGCAGGGGAGGGCATGCAGGTAAACAGGCAGACCAATAATGATCACTTGCAAAGCAGTGTGGGATAGTGATTGGAGGTATACCAAAGTGATGTGCAGCAGGATTGGGCGCACACAAACAACAGACCCAACTAATTCAGTTTGCAGCAAACAGCCCACTTTGCAAGAGGACTCCAGAGTTTGCAATAAATGTAGAGTTAGTGTGTTGTGGTGATTGCATCGTGTGTACAAAAGTGTTTCAAACCAGATTAACTTGATTTAAACCCTTCGGGTATGCAAGCCCTAAGTATCTAATTACATTTACATCTGTATTATGCACAAGATTCAGATCAAGCTTGTGCAGGCTTAAGTGCAGTCGCCCGGCTTTTCAAACTGAGGTTGTAGCAGTAGGTGCAAGGTGGTTGCAACCTCCCACTGTTGGGGGAGTAGGTGTTGCTAGGTGTGTAGGAGGTTTCACCACGTCAGATGATGTATACTCTGATCCAGCACCTTCCTTCAGCAACTCTCACTGCAGGGCTCCCATGTAATCGTTAATGGAAAGCCTCAAAGAGGATGGTGTCTGTGCAACTGCCTTCATCTTTTAGGGTGGATCCCCTTGGGTGTAATTTAAACATCCCTGGGACAGGGTTGATGCATCTGATTCACAGTCATTAAGCTAAGTGTGGGTGCAAGAACAATACTTAGCAATTATAGTGCTTCATACTTGTGAAATGCTGTGCAACATTAATTCTCACAAATTATCAGCTCTTCAGGGCATGGATTTATACGTTCAGCACATTAACTTTTTATAAGTTATGTGTAGGCTGCTGACATCTGTAATTAATAGGTGAGCAAAGAATGTGCCAATACCTTTATGTTCTATGGTCTGTGTCAGTGGTTCTCAACCAGGGGTACACGTATGCCTGGGGGTAGGCAAAGGTCTTCCAGGGGGTACATCAACTCAACTAGATATTTGCTTAGTTAACAACAGGCTACATAAAAAGCACCAGTGAAGTCAGTACAAACTAAAATTTCATATAGACAAAATGAGAAGTAAGCAATGTTTCAGTCATAGTGTGCTGTGCCACTTTTGTATGTTTGTCTGATTAAGTAAGCAAGTAGTTCTTAAGTGAGGTGAAACCTAGGGTATGCAAGACAAAGCAGACTCCTGAAAGGGCTAGAGCAATCTGGACAGTTTGAGAACCACTGGTCTATGTCCTCCAGGCAGTCAGGCTCGATGATCACAGTGGTGCCTTCTGGCCTTGGAATTTATGAAAAAGATTGTCATCTGCACTTGTTTCACACCTTGACCCTGCTTGTCATCTGCACTTGTTTCACACCTTAAATTGTGCTAAATTAAACTAAGCTAGGCAAAGACTGTGTCTTTCTGGGAAGTGCCCATTGTATTTTGGGGTACCACAAAATAGTAAACTTGGGCAAAGGAGGATTGGCATGTGAGGGGTGCCCTGGTTTGGAGGGAAGTGCTCTGGGTGTGTGTTAGGAGAAAATATGGTTTTTGCACATGTGGAGGGGTATTGCAGGGTTGAAGTGGGATTGGGGGATGCAGTGTGTGTGTGTGTGTGTGTTGGGCTGAAGTGGGATGGGATTGGGGGACAGTGTGTGTGGGGGGGTGGAATTGGGGGACAGTGTGTGTGTGGGGAGGAGTGTTGGGCTGCAGTGGGATGGGATTGGGGGGTGGTGTGTGGTGGGGGGGATGTTGGGCT